CATAGATTTCTATGCTCGATGACTAATGTTTCAATATATATTATATTTCCAGTTTTTTGTAATTTCAGTGCTCCATAAATGCCATTTATGCTCTGATAACTCTTCGTAGCCTGTATTACTCTGTTGTTTAAGTTCTCTATCGTCCGTTCCATAGAGGCGACTGTAATATCGATCCCAAATTCCTGTAGTTATTGGGATCATGCCTTGAGCCCTTCCATATATTGTCTAGATATAAGATTTTCTGTGTTCAGCTCCAATTGGAAGGTATTTAAGCACTGGTTTTCTGTCTTTACAGTTTTTTGCTTCCATTTAGCATGGAGTTCCGCATATACTCCCTCTGGGCCACATGCTCTTCCATTCTTTAAAGACATTATAGCGGTCTTTATTTTGTTGGTATCCACGTAGATTTCCTCTCCTTCAATGTTTATTTCTGGCTGTGGCGGTTCTTGATACTCAGGTCTGTTCTCTGACAAGAATTTGGAATAATATTTTACCCATTCTTTGTTGGTTACTATTTCTATAGGGGCTGACTCCTGTTTTTCAGTTGTTGTTTTTATAAATCTCCATACTTCCGTATTCCTTCTTCCGCCTATATACGTATTAATTTCTTTGCATTTGTCATCCCACACTTTATTCTTTTCTTCTTTTACCATTCTCCTCACCTCATTTTTCTTGTCATTATAAGTGCGCTTGTCTAGTTCAGATTTCGAATTTAGCCATTTCAAATACAGTATCTTTTTTTCCTCTACAAGTTTTTCAAGTTCATCAGTCCACCACAACTTTCTGCTCTTTCGTCTCGCTTTTATTCCTAATGCTTCCTCTGCGGCTCCATGAATATATATATAGATTAAGAAATTATACCGTGGGAAATTTTGCGGTGAACAAGTAGTTCTAAAAAGTTTTCGAAAAATATACAGGAAAATTTAAAACAAAATTCACGATTTTCAACATCTTTTTTTAGCGAAAAAAAAATCATAGACGTGTTCCTGGGGTCGAAATATACCACCTCTGAAAATATTTGCACTTATTTAACACTCACCCTGTATAAGATGTAAAAGATTTTAGAGAGCAGCTAACAAATTACTTAAGATGCTAAAAAATAAAAATCAGCTTAATAATATTTCCTCATTAATAAAAAGTAAATTTTGGTTTTTATTTTTAACACTTACATTTGATATTAAATGAAGTCATAAGTAGAAAATATAAATCGTCTTTTTCTCTACGTTTTATTACTAAACAGTAATTGGTTACATCCTAATTAAACGACTACTTACTAAAAATACATTCTATTCAACCACCTTGTCAACTTTGTGTGGGTATGATATTTATAGTCATATTAAGTGTTGGTATTCAATAATATCTGTATTATAATATTCCCTTATTATATTTTTATGTATTTTATTTTAATATCAACTGTTCAAAAACATAAATGTATGTTCAAAAAAATACTTCTCTTAATCATAATTGATAGATGTTTTTAGAACTCAATAATAGTAAATAATTCCAACTAGATCTGAGCTATTCGTCTGAAAATGTGTCGCATGTATTTTTTTAGAACTGTATGCTGCAAGGTCATTTTCATTAAAAAATTTACCGGTATTTCCTTCATAGAAGAATGATGAAAAATGGTAGAAAAAGTAGGCAGTTATTACTTTTGTGTTTGGAATAGATGCAATTAAAAATAATAGAGTTGAACTAACTCTATTTTGTTTTCATAAATTAAAATCAGAAATTTCTCAACTCCTAAAATATCCACATAAAAATCATAGTAAACAATAAGAGCTTGTCCCTGTCATTCTCTCTATACAAGGTGCTACAAATTCGAGGTACGAGCATTGGTATGTCGGAAACCGTAATAGATACGAAGATAGTTAAATTGGGGCAAAGTAGCGTCTGGGGATGGTTCACCAACATGCTATCAAAAAAGTTTTAAGAATTTCAAGGATTGCTGACTTTTTTGGAAAAAACGGATTTTTTTGAAAATTAATTTTATTTTTTCCTGACGTTACATTTTAGAAAATCAAAAAACTTTATTATATATTTAACCACGTTCAATTTAATCAATATCTATTACAGTTATGGAGATACCAATGATCGTACCCCGAATTTGTAGCACCCTGTATAGAAAAAACTCCAATCATACGTTTCATAATTAAGATTTTCGTCATGAAAAACTGCAATAAAAATGCAAAAATCTTGAAATTTTTTGATTCATAAACTTGTCATTATTGAATTTCTCGTTCAATCTCTTTCGAATTTGCATATCAGAAATATTCTCAAAAAGTTATGATAATAAAGACTATCTTAACATTGGTGCATCACTAGAACTAAACAAGCGGCAATAAAGCTGTATAGTGGGTTTACCGAGGAGTCTACTAACAGGACATTACAAGATAAATATGCATCTAAAGCATTGGCGTAACTACAGGGGGGCCGAGCCCCCCCCCCCCAAGTACTGCTGGGCACCCACCAGAGAAATACTGAATTATGACTCTTGGCTACGTATTCATTTTTATTTGCTTGTGATGCAGTAAAAATGACGTTTTCTAGTTTTGTTTAGTTAATATTATTTTGTTGTGTTCAAAAAATGTGTTTTTTTTATTTTTTTTAGAAATTTTGTAGGTATTTCAGTAATCTACGGGAACACGGTTTGATAACCAAGTCTATGAAATTTATTGATAGAGAAATTCATGTAAACGTTTTAAGCTTGATTTTCATGCATCCGTTGTCCGACGATACGTTGATACGATATTAATTTCATTAGTTGTATTTAAAGGGTTTAATTGGTTAAAATCAAGCTTTATTCAAAAAATGTGTTTTTTAAAATTATTTTTCACTTAAAAAAAACAAAAGCCCTAGGCTCCCCTGGTATCAACCCCCAATATTTGACAATAAGTTTCATAAAAAGCTTAAAAAAATTAACAAATTTTTCCCTGTTGTTCATGTGAAAATTGATTGAAGATAACATACCGTGATCGAAAAAAAAACGGCGTCCATTTGGTTTGGAAATGACGATCAATGTCATTCCCTTTATAATTTTATATATTTACTAGCGTGTACCAGCGACTTCGTTCACGTCGAATTAATCATTTGTAATGGTGATAATAAAGCAAAGCAAGAATTTCCATTAACATACAAACTGGATCAAATTTTCTCACATTTATGTCAGCATGAGAAAAACAATATGGCGATATTATTATATAACTTGGTAATATTTGAGGGGTAGTTTCATCTCGTTGGAATTTGACTTTCGAAAAATCCGTTTGCCAAAAATAAGCTTTTTACGTCAAGCAGTTTAAGCAGAATCGTGGTTAAGAATTTACCCAACTTTTTGGAACACCCTGTATGATTTTTTTTATTTCAAAATATGTAAAAAAACCAAATAAATTATGCTTGTCCAAGCGTTTTCCCGAAAGACTAACCGTTTTTTAAATAACAAATATTGTAATATTTGAGGGACGTTTTCACCCTCTTGGAATTTAAGATTCGAGAATCCCCTCCTTATAGAACCTCTACACCCCACAGTCAATCCGTTTGCCAAAAATCAGCTTTAAACGTAAAGCAGTTTAAGCAGAATCGTGATTATTCAATGGTCATCTTTTATGAAACATCCTGTATAAATTTATAAAAAACTTAAAATATGTAAAACAACAAAATAAAATATGCGTGTTTAAGAGTTTTTCCGAAAAACTCACCGGTTTTTAAATAAAAAATATTTTAATATTTGAGGGATAGTTTCACCCCCTTAGAATTCGAGTTTCGAAAAATCCCTTCTTATCGAACCTCCACACGCTAAAGTCAATCTGTTTTCCAAAAATCAGTGTTTTACGTCAAGCGCTTTAAGCAGGGTCGTGATTAATCAATGACCAGATTTTTTGAAACACCCTGTATGCATTTTTAAAAAATCTTAAAATATGTAAAAAACAAAATAAAATATACGTCTTTAAGCGTTTTTTTTGGAAACTTGACCGTTTTTTAAATAAAAAATGTTGTAATATTTGAGGGGTGGTTTCACCCTTTTGGAACTGGAATTTCGAAAAATCCCTTCTTATCGAACCTCTACATCCTAGAGTCAACCTGTATGCCAAAATTGAGCTTCTTACGGTGAGTGGTTTGAGCAGGATCGTGATTAATCAGTATGTCAGTCACTTAAGGATTTTATATATTAGTATACATTTCATAACCATCGCCAAAGCCGTTTTTTTTATCATATTGTACCGTATGATCGAAAAAAAAACGGCGTCCAGTTGGCTTGGAAATGACGATCGATGACATTTCCCATATAATTTTACATATAAAATGACAGCGATCTTCATTTCATAGCCATCGTTGACGCCGTTTTTATTCGATCATACGGTACAACTTTACATACAGGAATGCTGATTGATTTCAAGGTTATTTGAGGCGTTTAAATGTTTTTCTTTTTCTAACAAATACACCTCCTGCACTGGATAATCACTAAACACAAAACACATCGCACCATTTTCAAGGCTGAATTAATAAAATCCAGGAATTATTAGTTCCAACGCAGATATTAGCTCACAATCACTATACAACGTAGTACAATTCTGATCTAAGATATTTGGTAAACAACCAAAAGGCACTAAACTGGGATACTGGAGCACAACCCTACGGAATAGAGTCCCCTTGAATTATTGGATCCAGTGGAGATACAAGAACACAATCGCTATACAATGTAGCACAATAGTGATTTGAAGATTTTTGTTAAAACAACCAACATTTTGTAAGGCACTAAACTGGGACACTGGGGCACAACCCTACGGAATAAAGGCCTAAATTTGACTGGATGCTGAACGGTTAAGCGTGGTAAAATGTTTTAATAGCAACAATTGAACAATATTGAGCTGAATTGCATTAAAGAATCTGGCCAGTTAAACTAATATAGCTAATAGCTGCACTAATAGTCATTGTCGCTAATAGGGAAAAATTGAGTAAATTGATAAATTCAGTTATATTGAGCCGAATGCGTGCTTGTGCGGCCCCGTCGCCATTTCGAGCCTTTATTGTTTATGAATGGTTTTAATTGACATAGTGTATCTCTTAATTTTCTTTAATTCTCACAGTTTATGAATATGGTTTGGGGGTGCAACAAGACAACGCTCAAACGCTCGCCGTTCAACAACGATTATCGCATAGCCTACAATCGGTATTTTTAAATAATTTAGTGTTTAGTGATTACAGTGCTTCTTAAAAATGAGTGTTTAGTGTCTAATTGGATTAAGTCCTGATATCTAGAGATATAATGAGGTTCATTTCAAATAGCCAGTATTACGTCATATTTTTTTTATTTTTTCTACCGTATGATCGAATAAAAACGGCGTCAGCGATGAGTATGAAATGAAGATCGCTGTCATTTGTAAAATTATATGGGAAATGTCATCGATCGTCATTTCATAGACATCGCTGACGCCGTTTTTATTCGATCATACGGTACCTACTTAACAACAATTATTTTAGAAAAAAAATATTATGCAAACGTTATCTGTAGTATTTTTTATTTACAAGAATGTAACAAATATACATTGTGTATAGTGCGTGTGATGTGATATAACCTTAAATTACATTAAACTGTCCATGTCTAGTTGTAACAAGCGACCATAACCAGCAGGATGATTATTTCCGCTAAAGAATATTTAAACAAGCTGACTCTGGACTTAATTCATATCCATCAAGGTAACTATAAATAAATATATTGATCTGAATCTTATTTAACCAGTTTAATTATTGTAGAATATAGGTCTCTATTTATAATAATCGTAATCAAGTAATTGCTAATTTCTTTAGTAACACTAATTTTAATGAATATTTAAATAGATATTAAAATTAATTTTGTCGTTAATATTTTTATTGTACCGGGTGCGTCTCAAAAGTGGCTCACCCCCGTTAACTTTTTTATTTTTTCAGATAAAAAAACGAGATTAGGTATGTTAGTATATGACATAAACTAGGATTAATTGACTTACTCAATGGTTTGAGCTCACTTCCTGTTTCACCGGAAATGACTATAACTTTTGATTTTTAAATAGCACCCTCGATATTTTTTTACTTTATTCGATAGAAATTGACACTCTGAATAGAATGACATATCATATGTCAACTTTTGACATTTTGGCTTAAAACAAAATTGTATTTTAAATTTCAATCTAGAGTGCCACAAGCTCTGATTAGATAGCCTGAAGTAGTCTCGAATCGCACGTTTTTTAAACAGGTTATACCAAAAATCGTATTTAGAATGAATTATTGTTTCATGGGAACGAGAACAATGGTATTTGAAATTTATTCAGCACTAAATGACAATAAAAGTAGTAAGTTTAGAAAGACACAGTGAAAAATGCTTTGAAATTTAACGCGTCCCTAGTGGATTTTAATTTGTTTGAAAATAAATGATTCTGCATTTAAGATTTTTCAAAGTGATTATACGGTAAATTTAAAACTTACAAAAAATGGAAACATTTTTTTACAAAACTAATCATCAAAGACAAACAAACGATTTCAATTTTTTTGAAAAATTGGAATTAACTTATTTTGAAAAACTTGGAATTAATATATTTTAAAAAATTTTTTACAGTATGTCTCCGAATTCTCTTTACAAGAGGAAACACTTTTTTATTATTGACATTTTGAGAAAAATGTATTATTCATAAAAAATGTTGCTTGTTCTAAAATGGTTGATCCCGTTAAAAAATATAGAAATTGACACTCTGAATAGAATGACATATCATATGTCAACTTTTGACATTTTGAGTGCCATGGCTGTGTTAAAAACACTAATTTTTAATCAAGAAGCCTTGGAAAGAGATATTTAATCGTCTAATGTTTTTAGTGTCTTGTCCTGGCCGGTTAAAAGATGCCCAAATCGTATTTTTAATCATATCTCAAGCATAGCTCCAACAGGTATGGTAGGCTAAGATCGACAAAAAAAAAAGGTTTTTTAATTTCTTTCAAAATGAGTTGTTTGGGTCATAAATGACCTAAATACAAAATATTTTCATGGTGTCTGTCTGTCTGTTTGTCTGTCCGTCTGTAACACGATAACTCAAAAACCGCTAAACCGATTTTAACCAAATTTTGACACAAAAATACTGTGACACCCGAGAATCTGGCCATTAGTAGTTTAAGCAAAATAGATTTGACATTGCTATTGAAGAGCTGGACTTTAGCTTTTTTGCTATATATAGAGGAGTTCCACACAGGTGTAAGCATGCCAAAAGCTCTTTGTGCCTTCAAAATCCTTTCCTCTATATATTTCTCTGTGCCCCCATCGCTGTGAACCATACTTCCCAGGTACTGAAATTCATCAACTCTTTCGATGGCTCGGTTGGAGAGGTATAGATCTTGATTGTTGGGAGTATTTGACCTCATTTCTTTGGTTTTCGCCACGTTGATTTGAAGACCGACATTATTAGCTTCCTCTTGGAGTCTAAGAAGTTTTTGAGACATATCCGAATGTGAATGGGAAAAGATGCATAGATCGTCTGCGTAATCCAGGTCTTCTAGCCTGCTTAAGAGTCCCCATTGTATCCCAAGTGGTTCTTTAAATGCTCTATTTAGTGCTACATCCAGAACGATGTTAAAGAGTAGCGGCGAAAGTATACAGCCCTGTTTTACACCTACTGCAATAGAAATTTTCTCCCCCACTTGACCTTTATGTAATACACAGCTTGTAGTATCATGATAAAACATTTTAATCATGCGGATTATTTTTTCGGGTATTCCTTTTTCTCTCAAAGCTTTCCAGATGGCTATGTGTTTTATAGTATCGAATGCTCTTTGAAAATCCACGAACACCATGTATAATGGCGATCTGAACTCTTGAGATTGCTCTATTATTATTCCGAGAGTATTAATTTGGTCGATACATGATCTTTGAGGCCTAAAGCCTGCTTGTTCTTTTCTCAAAGTCGGTTCAAGGGCATCTGATATTCTTTTTTGGATGAGTGTAGCAATTATCTTGTTAATGGTGTTAAGTAAGGTAATGCCTCGCCAGTTGCTTACACTGGGATAAGTCGCCTTTCTTGGGGAGTTTTACAATAAGTCCTTCTTTCCACGTTGACGGGATATGTTCTGTTTCCCAACTGCTTTTTATTATTGTCTCTAGTAGCTGTGCAATGTTTTCTGGGTGTATCTTAAATAGTTCAGCGGGTATATTATCAGGACCTGCCGCTTTGCCAGTTTTAAGCTGTGATAATGTTTGCTTAATTTCTTGAATCGATGGAGCACGTGTTGCGATTCTAGATTTGCAGTTCTTTGTTGGAGACGTTGGTACCTCATCAATATCATTTGTTACCTGTTGAGGCTCACTAAAAAATTCTGTCCATCTGTGCAGCTGATCCTCTTTTGAGGTCATTATATTTCCTTGTTTATCTTTCACTATGGGACATTCCCTATTAATGTTTTTTTTTGGTAAGGGGGTATGGGAGGGGGTTAAAAATTTTAAAAAATCATAACTCCAAAATTAAAAATTGGGAATAATATTTGCAACAAAATTTGTAATAACATCAAAATCAAAGTCGCAGTTTTTGAGATATTCCGTGTTTCCGTAGTCCGTTTTTGAGAAAATCCGTGTGGAGAACTCCAAACTCCCATCGGACGCGACCCCAGGTGGCGGATAGGGGAAATAACCGCGGACCAAAATTGGAAAAATTCCTTTACTTTGAAACTAAAAGAACTGCCTACCAATTTTTTATTAACATATTTTAGTATGGGCGGCTATACGTGCCTCCCAGCGCCAATTTTTTCAAATGGAACGAGGGTGGCTCATTAGCATATTTGGAAAAAGCATTTTTTTACGAATAATTTGGTACCACACAATTGGTATTTCGAGACAAATTGTCGCTATGAATCGCCTGTTGCAATTCTAAATAAACCGAAACGAATATAATAAAACCGAACGAATATTCCAAAATGTCAAAAGTTGACATATGATATGTCATTATATTCAGAGTGTCATTTTCTATCGAATAAAGTAAAAAAATTCAGAGGGTGCCATTTAAAAATCAAAAGTTGTGGTCATTTCCGGTGAAACCGGAAGTGACCGAAAACATTTGAATACGTCATTCAATCCTAATTTATGTCATATACAAACATACCAAATCTCGTTTTTTTTATCTGAAAAAATAAAAAAGTTATAAGGGTGAGCCACTTTTGAGACGCACCCGGTATACTAGTTGGCCCGGCAAACGTTGCTTTACCATATAAATATTTTTTATGGGACAACAGTAATTTTTTTTCATGGGGTTGAAAATTATTGAATTTTTATTCAGTTTTTTTACACTTTCAGCTTTTATTGAAATATTTTTTTTCAAAGTCCTTACGTTTCTCTGAAATTTGAAAAAAAGAACAATTTATTTATATTTGTCACCCCTTCTCGGATGAATTTAAAAAAAAATCTTAATTGAAATTTATAATTTTCCAAACAAATTGAATAAAAATGTTATATATATTAATTTTTCAGCAACTTATATATTTTTTTTAATTTCTATCATTCTCTAGCTTTTAGCTCCACTATCTCGGTTAATTTTGATCTGAGTAAAAAAGTATAGAGGTATTTCTATGTAAAATTTGAAGTTTCAAATTCAAGTTCTTACCAAAACGTCGTATTTGAAGGCCTATTTTCTTGGACTATACAGGGTGAATCTTAAATAAGTGCAAATATTTTCAGGGCTTGTAGATCTCGATAAAAAAAACATAATTTCTCTTTACCTTTTTTCAAATAAGTCCAAAATAATCGAGTTATTTAACTTCCAAAAAAAAAATTTTTTTGCTTAAATTTTTAGATCTACTACTTATGTTGCCATATCATCAAGAAATTATGGTTTTTAACCAAAAACTAACAAAATTTCTAAAAATTTTTTCGAAAAAAACTTATAATCGTGTTTCTGAGGTCGAAATACAGTATTAAGAATATTAGCACTTATTTAAGACTCACCCTGTATAGTACTCTATTGATTTTGATTTTCCTAAACTCCACTGTTAATCTATTTTTCCAATAACAAAAGAGGGACCAGTCGTTCTCAAGACACCATATTTTCAAACCCCCAAAAATACAAATTGTCGAACATTATACTCTAATATTTGTCCCACAAGTTTTATACGGGCACTAAGAACAAGTCCCACTCATCCCCGCGGGTTTTTCGGGGTGTAAAACCATCCCCCGGCCGTGATATACATGGTGGTCACGTGGATCAGGCCGATATACACCTATATACCGAGCCGTCCGAAAGTTAATGGATGTGGGCCGACCGTTTAGTCATTGCGGTTCTTGTGGGAATTTCTAGGCGCACAGAGAAGGTCAGGGTGGGTTTTGAGAGTCAGATTATTGGGGTGTATCGATTTTAAAGTATTGTAAGTCTAAAGTGGGTATAAGTGTTACCGGGAATACATCTCAAATGATATAGAAAACTAAAAAATATTAACTGATATTTTTGTTAATTACAGTTGGGGTTGGAACCTTTGGGGTTATACAGCAAAATAAAACACTAAATCACCACAATACACCAAAACACTTTTACTTTTACACTGGACGCGCGTTTCGCTGACCACTGTTGAGTCTTCATCTGTTGATGATGCTAACTAACATGGTTTTAACCAAAACACAGCAAAATAAAACACTAAATCACCACAATACACCAAAACACTTTTACTTTTACACTGGACGCGCGTTTCGCTGACCA